CTATCCTGTCCTGGCATTTTCCCCTTCTTCAATCTCCCTATTATCTCCATCATTTCTTCCACCGAGGGGGTGGCGGGAGTGGCCAGTGATCGTCCTTCGTCATTGTTGGGCCTGTTCTTCCTGTTTCCCCTTCAGGAGTTTCTCCCACACTGTCCTGGTATATACAGGGTGTACCTAAGATACCTCGGATCCTTTACCATAAAATATACCGAAAAAAGTCCTAAAGCAAAATTGTACACATTTACCGTCGCCATATTTTTGATCACCAGGGACGTGCTGTATTCCAGTGGCGTATCAAACTTGCGTTTTCTTAAATGGAACACCCCATATTTTATTACTGATTGGGAAAGTACTTGAGAAATACTTATTTTTTTATGTAACATATTATATCCCTAACTAAACGATTTCGCTGTTATAACCTTTTATTGTCAAAATTTAACAGTTTTTCGAAATTTTTTTTGAGAAAAACTGTCGCGCGGGGGGTTTTGTTTTGGACTGAGGCACAGGTTAAGACCGCGTCCACGGACACATAATTTTTTTTAGGTACTTTATCAAAAAAATTAAATTTTTGATTGATCGTAAAATGTCATATTTTTTAAAAATCTCAAATGGCACCCCCCTAAACAAATTATACCTCTGGGTAGCCAAAACTACAAATTTTCCACTGATGTAAAGAAAACCACACATTTTATAAGAAAATTTCGGAGAAAACCCAAGTCGAAACGCCAATTTGTAAAAAAAGTTCTTTGCCTAACCCTAAGTGTGCCATGATGAAACAAAAGACTACCGGAATTGTGTGTTGGCGTTACAAGAGTATGCTGAGAGATATCCTGCCAGAACACATCCAGATCAAAATTTACAACTACTGGGAGTGCTAATTTCACTCACACTAATATGACGGTTGTCAACAGCTGTCCCGAGAACTTTCAATTCATGATCTTCAGCCAAAAGATGTAAATCTATCCAACACCTTTTGAAACACGCGTGGATTTGAATGTGTGCTGCCAGGATATCTCCCAGTGTACACTCGTGACGCCAGCAAACAATTCCGGTAACAGTTTCTAAGAAACAACACTATTCAACCATTCCTGCTTGAGTTTGGAACATTTTTGCAACTTTGATTAAAAAACAATCATACACTGCCGACACTGTACTGTTAATAGTGAGAAATGAACCTCTTTTGTTTCATCATGGCACACTTGGGTTTGCAAAATAAAGTTTTTTTACAAATTGGTGTTTCGACTGTTTTCTCTGAAATTTTTTTATGGAATGAGTGGTTTTCTTGGTATCAGTGGAAAATTTGTAGTTTTGGCTATCCTAAAAAAATTATGTGATTGTGGAAGAGGTCTTAACTTGTGCCTCAGTCCAAAACTTAGCCCAACGCGCGATTTAGTATCTCTAAAAAAAATTTCGAAAAACTTTCAAATTTTGATGAAAAAAGGTCGAAATCGTTAAAGTTAGGGGTATATTATGTTACATAAAAAAAGTAAGTATTTTTCAAGTACTTTCCAAATCAGTAATGGGGCGTTCCATTTAAAAAAATGCAAGTTTGATACGCCACTGCAGCACAGCACGCCCCTGGTAATCAAAAATATTTTAGAAATATTGCGACTTTGTGTACAGTTTTGCTCTAACACTTTTTTCTGTATCTTTTATGGTAAAGTGATCCGAGGGATCTTAGGTGCTACACCGTGTATTTTCTGTTTCCCCATTGTTTCCCCCTTCTGTGTTTTTTATGTGCATTTTTGCGCATTCCTCTCCATTGGTCGGAGCTTGGCGATGTTCTCCGCGAACTCGGCGAATTTCTTGATTTTGTGTTGCATAAAGGCTCTGTTTTTCTCCTCCTTGGCGTCCCTTTCTTTGTTTCAGGTTTGTTTGGGTTTCCCCATAACCTCTTGATTGCTCTTCTGTGATTATCCATGGCTCGCTTCCTATTCGGTTTCTGTTTCCCGAGTGTTTTCCTTGCTGCTTCTTTGAGCGTTTCAGCGATCTTATTCCAAGCTGGTCTTCCTTCCCCATTTTTGGTTCTGATCTCTCCCTGCTCCTTTCTATACTCCTCCCTTTTCTTCTCCCCTGACAGAAGTTTCACATCCCACCATTCGATTTTCCCGATTTGCTCCTTGTCATTTCCTTCCGCCCCCTCCCCCATCCATCTTTACTTTCCCCCTTACCATTTTGTGGTCCGATCGTACTATTTTTGCCCATATGCCTACTGTGTTCGTGATGCTTATTTCCTTTGACTTCGTCCTTATTACGTGGTCAATCTGCAATTCAGTGTTTTCCCTACTCCATGTTGTCAGCACCGTTTTGAACTTGCCTCAGTCCATGTAGGTGTACCATCTTCCTAAGCTCGCTGCCTTGCACATTCCACGTGGCTACCCTCATGCTATTGTCTCCTGTATCCTGACTTTCTCTTATTCCCTGCGAGGGACTCTTTCCGGGCACCATGCTCACACTGTATTCGTTGGGGACAGCGGCTCCTTTCGCTTCCTCGTATTCCTCTAGCCCTCGTGTTCTTTGGTGTTCCGCCTCTTCTTCTTCCCTATCATGTTTTCTGCCCTCACCACGCTCTCATAGTGGTTCCGGACATTGCTACTCCCTAGCCTGTACGCTAAGTGGCAGTGACCTGTGGCTCCCGTTGTTGCACGTGGTTCTATAACATGCTTCTCTCCTCCTTCCTCGTATACCACTATCTGCCTGTTGTATGTATTCGCCACCACCATCCTCAGAATCCCTGCTTTCTGTGCTCCCTATGGTACGCTTCGACTTTTTCCTCCATATTGGCATATTGATCATACCGGGATTCTAATTCCACTACGTTTCCCATCAATTGCGGGTACAAATCTTCCAGGTTTTCCCTGATGTATGCGTTGGTTTCTTCTCTAATCCTTATTTATCCTGATGCATTCTAGGAAGTATTCGTTTGTGCGCACTTCTTCTGTCATCGCTGTTACTTGTCATTAAGGTCTTAATCCTGATTCGGGTGGTGGGTGCTGTTTATTGATCGCTAAAAGAGACAGCTAGGAGAGATAGAAGAGGATAGGTACTCGGGTAGCAATGAAGAGGAAGGTCTCTTGTTCAAATCAAGAATTGGTAGGATAATTAATACGTGGGAAATTAATGCGCATAATCAATGTTATTAAGCTTTGCCGATTTCATTGACCTTAGTAGAGGGTATCATCATGGTTCCGCGATAATAAAAATGCACTCGACATACCTAATCAGTTGCAAAATGTCGACCAATAGAAGCACTATAAACGAGAAAGAAGTCTCATTTTTTAAAAATCTTAGTGAAGGATGGTGGAAAGAAGACAGTGGATTGCAACTACTGCACGAGACTAATAGGATGATGGGAGCTTTCGTACAAGACGAGTTGTTTCGAACCGGGTTAAAAACGCAAGATGCACCCGGTGGTGGTCAAGTGAAGATCTTAGAAGTGGGTTGTGGGGGTAAATTCAACCAAGCGTCAGTAACTGGGATGCAGTTTAGCATTTTTCAGGAGGTTTCCTTACTGAAATATTAGCTAGGATGGATTGTGAGGTGACAGCGATCGACGTAGCGCCAGAACTAGTTGAGATCGCGAAAAACCACGCCTCGTCCGATCCTGTAACGTCAAAGACCACTTACATTGCGCAGTCCATTGAAGACCATACGAAACATAACGCCGACAAATATGACATTGTTATCTCCAATTTTGTTTTGGAACACGTCGACGACAAAGAGTACTTCCTCGAATCGTGCACGAAGTGCGTCAAACGAGGAGGGCTGTTTATCGTCAGCGCGATAAGCAAAACAATATGGAGCTGGTTGATGATAAATCTGCACGAAAGGGTTTGTGGATATGTACCCAGTGGCACTCACGATTGGAATATGTGTATTACAGCGCAGGATACACACAAAATGATACGCAAAAGTAGGTATTTGGTTTTGGCGATTTTTAATCAACGTGTAACATTTGCAGATAATTTCGAAATAATCGAAACACGCGGGTACTTCCACAATATTCTAACTGGAAAGTTGTCTTGGTGGTCAGAGTGGTCTTTAGCTTATGTTATCGAAGCTAAAAAATTGTACTAGCGTACATCCCATTTTCGATCGATTAATTATTAAAATGTATTACAAGATAATCCATTTAAAAATAAATTGATAGAAAATCATAAAAAATTTGCCCCCCTCCTCCCACACCATTTGCATCTTCTTAAAAGAACGTTCGCCGCGTTGAAGACATTCTTCACGTCCTGTGACTACTCCGGTATTTACCCTACGAATTAGGAAAACGGCAGGAAAACCGAAGAATGCTCGAAACTGGCCTAAGGTAATTCCCATCTCTGCCACAGATGAAAAATTCACCTCAACTCAGGTTCGAACACCCGACCTCACGTGTCATCCCTTCGTTTGCCTGCTTCATCTCTTGGACGCCTCTTCACAAATCCATACTGTTTTGGGGATAATTTCAGGTTGTTGCCCGTTTCAGTCTTCCAGAGAGTATCCAGAGCGTTATCTACCACTACTTTCCAAATCCCAGGTTGGCTCGTAGCCAGGATTTTAACCACCACGGAAAGCATGTCGTCTGAGCCCTGTGCTTTATTTACCGACAGGAACTGCTATTTCCTCAACCTTCACTAGCTCTTCGGTTCCCAACCTTGGCTGCTCACCTTGAAGCGACGTCAAACTGTCGTAGTCCAGGGAATAGAGGCAAAATGCAAAATGAGAAGTAGTTCCAATTTCTTTTGCATGTCATAGACAGTCATCTGGTGGTTAAGAATATAAGTTTTCGACCTCCCACCCCTTGTGCTTACCCCCTACCACCCCCAAAACCCCTGAAATTTGGTTGGTTTCTTAGTTTTTCAATCATGCCTTTTTAATGGTTCACTTTAGAAAAAAATATTGTTATCAGAAATTGTAGACCATAAAATTCTACACAACTTTGATATACACTACTTTTTTCTGAAATGGTTATTAAAAAAGATATTGAGCTTGAGAGTTGGTTATATTTTTAAGAATTCTGAAATTTCTATGTAGATGTTTTAACCAAATTTCATACTTTATCTGTATAATTAAGGTGGTACGGAGGAATCACAAGGGGTGGGAGGTCGAAAACTTGGATTCTTAACCACCAGATATTCTTTCATGACATGCAAAAAAAATTGGAACTACTTCTCGTTTTGCAGGAAATGGTCCATTTTCAGTCTCTATTCCCTGGACTATCGTGGATAGGGAAAAGTTTCCTTATCGTAGGATCGGAAGTTGCGCCGTTCTTATCCCAATCTTACACGTCACCATTTAGTACGCCTTCCCTCAGATGTCTTTGTCTAGCTCATCGAACAACCCTTGCCAACACTTCCTCTTGCTGGCGCCAATCGGGTACTTCAACTGGTTTCTATCTCTTTTCAGAGCCGCCTTCTCCTCTGCCGCACACATCCCGGTTCGCAACTTGCGTTGGAACCTCCTTCTCTTCATTTACATTCATTACTCTTTTTGGTCTTCCGTCTCGCAGCTAATGTTTTTTGTTCTTCACATTTCTTAGCGCAATTTTTCTTTGCCAGCGATATCATTAATGTTAGAAAAACAAAGCTCTCAACTCTCTCAACCCTTCTTCTTACAAGCTGTTTATATTGTCAATTGGAATAACATTTACTCCTGCAGCCTTTCGAACCGATCATATCTTTCATAGCTGCACCTACTTCTGACTTCTCCAATGACATCCGTATTCACGTACGTTTCCTACCTTTTTTCGATTTCTGGTGGCTTCTCACGGGCCTTACTTATGCGGTCAGTTTTGCTTCTATGTAGGGGGAATTATTCGTTTCTAAGAGAGAGGTAATAGTAATTCGGGTTGAGCCGTCGTAGCGCTCAGGTCGAAATAACGCAGATCAAGACTCGCGTTGAGGCCTCTGTTAGCTCAAGTAAAAGATCCATAGCTAAAATTAGCGCCGAACCATTCGTTAGTCCAAATTGGAAACGTTCCAGTTCAGAAAATCAAAAGTAGCGCATCGTGGAAATAAACTTTCGGCAGAAAACGAGGCTGCAAATATGAAAAGTTTCCCCATAACCATCCGCTAATTGTAACAGAACACGTATGCAAATGTGTGCAAATAACCACATCATTATTTTACCAACAACGTAACATACAAAATCCTTATCCGAGAGTACCTTGAATCCAGTCCACTGACACTCGTTACGTTTAGGGACCATTCATGATTTTTGATTGATTTTTGAAAAGTCACTTGTTCTATCGTATTTTAACCTTCTCTTTCTTCTGTTTCAGGTTAGTTTGACCGCATCGATTTTAAGACAAATTTGGTAAGTCTCTTTTCTAATTGCACACGTTAATTTCACGCTCGATCGCCACCTCTTATATTATTACTTAAAATCTTTATTCGCAATTTTTAGAAACAATTAATTAACCAGCGTGCGATCTACGTACAAATAAATCGAATAAATTGAACATTGCTACTCCTTTTTTAGAAGGATTACAATATACCATAATTTGTTTTTTTTAATTGGTATCTACCTATACGTAATGCACCACAAGGTATCTTGTCTTTTGTTGAATAATATGTAAATTATCGTGGTTTTTAACCACACGATTTACCGACTTAGTGTCAGACGTTAGACATTGCTATTTCGCAATATTTTATGTGCATCGCGATTCGCTACCCCTTTCATTTGTTTGTTGTGTTATTGTCTGTTACAGATTTGCAGAACGCGCCCTTCTGAGCTCACAAAGTTCAAAGGTAAATCTTTTTAATTTTCGTCCACTCCTTGATTAACTTTTGATTACATGCTGGTTTTCGATAAAATCGAATTGTAATTATTACATTTGCTGGATATTCGCTTAACGATTATAGCTTCATTGTTTTCTGCCTGTTTTTGATATTAATACTTTCTCCGACTACGTATTGATCCTCTTTTTACTAAAAATTAATTCAAATTCAGATATTGACATAGCAGATATATACAGGGAATTTTTTGTATACATATGGGCTATGAATATTTGAAAAAAAAACGGATCAAATGCATGGAATAGATGCCTACAATAGGCAACCAACTCTGCACGAATTTGTTTTAAATGATACTCAGAGTGTGCTATCGAAAAAGTCACTTGATTATATTTTCATGTCAAATTAGAGTTAGCTATTAGTCTTTATTTTTATTATCAGCAACAAATTGTCTTTTTTAACACAAAGATGTATAGCAAAGGCGATAAGATTGAAATATTAACATTGCATCACGGTAGTAACAATTTAAGAACTGTAAAAAGTTACGGATGGTGCCCGGCGCATGCGCATCACATTTCTACATCTGTTGGCAAATGACAGCCGTAATTATGGACCCATTCGATAGTGTTAAGGGTTGTTTACAAGTGCTTAAAGTGCCCCCTTCGATTGCAAGTACTGCCAACTGTGATCTACGTGGTGTGATCCGTAGCGCGAAGGTGGCTTGATGGATATGATTTCTCGCTATTGGCTTCGATATCCGCCCAGTGGACGGATTGGGTTAAGATTGCACGTCGCGCTTTGCAAACCGATCGGCGTGGATTTTGCACTGTGTAACTCCGCTTAACAAATGCTCCTTTCCCACTATTTACACTCATATTTATAGGTATCGCTTTGTACATTCTGACTCAATAAGCGCTTTCTCATACAACGATATAATAACGCTTCCTCCGTGCTATTATAAGCTTTTTGTTATTTAACGCTTGGTTACGACAGATATAACTCGCTCTTCTTGCTCTTATTTTAATTACAATTACCCGATTCATTTACCTCGTCCCAAATATACACACGTACTGCAGCATAAAATTATTTACTCTATTTACATCTAAAACAAAATTGCATTTGTAAACCGCGATGATTACTAATTCTCTTTTAGCTTCCTTACGGTTAAATAAAAACCAACTTGGGTTATGAATAAATTTGCAACAAATAAGGCAAACGAGCTCCTGGGGTAATGATAAACATAATACTGAAACACATTCTTTATTTATGAGTTCCTTGAATTTCAGACACTCATTAAATACATTAACAACCCTTAAATTACGGATACAAATTCACAAAGCTAAACATTACACCGACCATTAAATAAAATCCTGAAGTTTTGTGTCCTGTCCTGTAACAAAGGGTCTCTCAGGTCCTAAACAAATAAATTACAGCATTGTACAGGATGTCCGGCCTGAAATTTCTAATGCTAAACCTCAATTACGTTTACATCACGTAAATTTTCAACTACAGGGTGACTCGCTCTCATCGTTGGCATTATTTCAACCTAGAGAGATGAGACACCCCTGTAGTTTACACAACATTTCGACCAAGGACGTATTGATCCTCGATCCTGGATACGATTTGAATCTGCATATTCATCCTTGCTTAATTATTTAACTTTTATGCCCATATTACGAGTAGATGTATCAATGGATTTAAATTTCTCGTAGTGAAACGTGATATTCAATCATAAACCACAATTAGGACGAGCATCAAAGAATGGTAATTGCAATTTACTATATCCCGTTTTCTAAATGCAATAAGTAACAAAATCTGGCTAATTCAAGCCATTGTCCGCAATGAAAGCTTTCCTTTGTATGCCATATACGTAGTTTATGGCAGTAAACGTTTTTAGTACCGAAACCGGTATATGCAGCACAAGCAACAAAATTAATAGATCGAGAACAAAGAATTGGAACAATCTGATCTACCTACCTACTAAATTAGTTAACGATATCTGCAAACTTTCTATTAATACGAATAAAATGGTAATTGCGTAATCGAGTGTGTCATGTACACCGATGTAGGGTAGTAACGGAAGATTTAAATCGATGCCAACGTAGAACAGCCCTCGATTTTTCTACCACACCATTAAGGGATAATGCAAATGAAAATTTGGGGCTTTTTAAAATTTCGCGATACTTACACAACTGCTTAACAATACGTTATAAACATTAACAAATGCCTTATGTAACTAATTATGTTGTAAAGATCATAAATTACGCCCACGTTTAAGTAAAAAATTTAATCTAATTACGCAATTATTGCGGTTTTTTATTGGCATTTCGCTTCGGGTGACAAATCGGCATATATTTGTATAAATTTGGTACGGCAGTGTCTGGAAAATCACTTAACTGTTAGGTATGCTAAGACGACTAATGTTTAATTTATAACA